GTCTTAAATGAAAATTCACTAGAGGAGATTGAGAGTAAACAAGAAACCAAGAAAGGAAAGACTTGAAGATAAAGTAATAGAAACTATCCATTGGGAGTGGCCTGTGGCGTAGCAGTTAAGTTCGTGTGCTGTGCTTTGGCGGCCGGGGATCACAGGTTCAGATCCTGGGCACAGACCTAGCACCGCTCATCAAGCCATGCTATGGCGGCATCCCATATAAAACAGAGAAAGATTGGCACAGATGTTAGCTCAGTGACAATCTTCCCCACCAAAAAAGAAAAGAAACTATTCAAACAGAAGCATAGAAAGAAAAATGCTGACAAAAAAATAAGCGGAGCCTCAGGAATCTGTGGGAAAATTATCAAGCTAACACACATGTAACTGGAGTCCCATATTTTCCAAATTTGATGCAAACTGTAAACAACAGTTCCAAGAAGCTCAATGAGCTCCAAGCAGAATAAACATACAAAACCCACACCAGGACACATCACTTTAACATTTTGTTAAAAATCAAGTTGCTACAGGGAAATTTTAGAAGCAGCAAAAATAAAGCCACTTACAACAGAAGAACAAAAATAAGAATTATCACTAACTTCACATCAGAATCAGTACAAGATCAAACACAATGGGACATCTTTAGTGCTGAAAGAAAAAAAAAGTCAACCTAAAATTCTATATCCAACAAAAATATCCTTCAAAAATGGAGATGAAATAAACACATTTTCAGAGAAACAAAAACTGAGAAAATTCATCACCAACAGCAGACCTGCACTAGAAAAAATGTTAAAGAAAGTTCTTCCTTTAAAGAGAAATGAGGGGCCAGCCCGGTGGCACAGCAGTTAAGTGCGCACATTCCGCTTCGGCAGCCTGGGGTTCGCCGGTTTGGATCCCGGGTGCGGTCATGGCACTGCTTGGCAGGTCATGCTGTGGCAGGCATCCCACATATAAAGTAGAGGAAGACGGGCATGGATGCTAGCTCAGAGCCAGTCTTCCTCAGCAAAAAGAGGAGGACTGGCAGCAGATGTTAGCTCAGGGCTAATCGTCCTCAATAAATAAATAAATAAAAAGAAATGATACCAGATGGAAATTTGCATCTACATAAAGAAATGAAGGGTACCTGAAATGGTAAATATATGGACTGACTATACAACTTTTTCTCAATTTTAAAATCTGTTTATGATAATCAATGGTTTAGACCTAAAATAGTAACAATAATATATTGTGAGGCTCATATCATATGTAGACGTAAAAGTTTTGACAATTGCACAAAGGACGGGAGGCAGGAAATGGAAGAATACTCATGTAGGTTCTTACATTAAACATGAAATAATATATTATTATTTGAAGTTCATTGAGGTAAGTTAAGGATACAGGGTGTAGACATTAGAACAGTCCTTAAAATAGAATCCTAAAAAAACATGTGATAGTCCAAAAGAAGACAGGAAAGGAAGACATGGGACAGACAACTAATAGCAAGATGGTAAATTTAAATCCAACCATATCACTAATTACGTTAAATCTGAATAGTTGGGGCTGGCCCCGTGGCCGAGTGGTTAAGTTCACGTGCTCCGCTTCAGTAGCCCAGGGGTTCGCAGGATCGGATCCTGGGTGCAGACATGGCACCACTCGTCAGGCCATGTTGAGGCGGCGTCCCACATGCCACAACTAGAAGGACCCACAACTGAAATATACAACTATGTACCGGGGGCTTTGGGAGAAAAAGGAAAAATAAAATCTTTAAAAAAAAAAAAATCTGAATAGTCTATTGCGGTGAAAATGCAGAGAACATCAGACTAGATAAAAAAGCAAGATCCAACTATTTGCTATTAATTTAATTGTGATTTTTAAAAACCTAAATGTGTATGCACCACCAAATAACAGAGCTTCAAAATACATGAAGTAAAAACTGACAGAACAGAAAGGAGAAACAGACAAATCCCTAACTAGAGTTGAAGATTTCAACACCCTTCTCTCGGTAATTTATAGAACAGGTGAACAGAATATCAATAAGGTATAGAAGACTAAACCGCACTATCAACCCCGCGACCCACCTGACATTTACAGAACACCCCACCCAACAGCATGATGATACACACGCTTTTCAAGTGCATACGGACCAGCCATCCCCAGCGATCTACCTGACATTTACAGAACACCCCACAACAACAGCATGATAATACACACGCTTTTCAAGTGCATACGGACCATCCATCCCCAGCGACCTACGTGACATTTACAGAACACCCCACAACAACAGCATGATGATACACACGCTTTTCAAGTGCATACGGACCATCCATCCCCAGCGATCTACCTGACATTTACAGAACACCCCACAACAACAGCATGATAATACACACGCTTTTCAAGTGCATACGGACCATCCATCCCCAGCGATCTACCTGACATTTACAGAACACCCCACCCAACAGCATAATAATACACACGCTTTTCAAGTGCATACGGACCATCCATCAAGACACACCATAACCCCAACACAAGTCTTAATCAATCTCAGAGGATTTTAATTATAGAATGTTCTCTGATCATAGCAGAACTAAATTAGAAACTGAAATCAGAAAGCTACCTGGAAAATCCCAAATTATTTGGCAGCTGAAAAACACACTTCTAGACAAGCAATGGGTCAAAGAAAAGTCACAAAAGAAATTTTAAATATTTTGAATGGAACTGAAATAAAAACACAACATTTCAAAATGTGTGGGATGTAGCTAAAACAGTAATCAGAAGAAAATTTATAGCTTTAAATGTTTATATTAAGAAAGAAAGGGGCCAGCCCCGTGGCCTAGTGGTTAAGTTTGGTGCACTCCACTTTGGCAGCCTGGGTCCAGTTCCCAGGCATGGACCTACACCACTCGTCAGCAGCCATGCTGTGGCAGCATCCCACATACAAAACAGAAGAAGATTGGCACAGATGTTCACTCAGGGTGAATCTTCCTCAAGCAAAAAGAGGAAGATTGGCAACAGATGTTAGCTCAGGGCTAATCTTCCTCAGCAAAGAAAAAAAGAAGAAAAAGAAGAAAGGTATGAAATAAAATGATCTAAACTATTTCTACCCTAAAGAGCTGGAAAAAGAAAAGCAAAGTAAATCCAAGTTTAGGAGTAGGGAATTATAATAAAGATATGAGTGAAAAACAAGTGAAACAGAAAACCAACAACCGAGAAAACACAAAAATCAATGAACCCAAACGCTAGTGCTCTGGAAAGATCAAGACAAAATAAGAGGAGACACAGATGACCAATATCAGTCTGAAAGAGTGGCTATCAGCACAGATGCTACAACAGCAGAAGGATAACAGTGTAATTCTATGAACAACTTCACATCAATAAAAATGACATCTTCCATGAAATAACAAATTCTTTGAAAGACGCATATTACCAAAACTGACTCAAGAAGAAACAGAAAGGTTGACTAGTTCCATAAGTAAAGAAATGGAATACAGCATCAAACTGTATACTCAAAATGAGAACATTTTATTGTATGTAAACTATCCTTAATAAAGTTAATTTGAAAGGTTAAAAAAAACCAGCAAGACTAAACTATAGTGTCCAGCAATGCACACATGAGGGACAAAACTATGAAGAAAGAACAGAAATAAACACTACCTGAGTTTGGATGGTGTTCATTTGGGGCAGAGCAAGGTGGTTATGATTTTGAGGGGCACATGCGAAGGCTTCTGGCAGCAGTGGTCACAGACTAGGCAATGGTTACAAGGCTGTGCCTCTTATGGTGATTCATTAAACCACAAGCTTGTTTCGTGTGAGATTCTGCATGTGCGTATTGCTTTCCAATACCAAAGCAGTATTTGGGCCTTTTTTTTGGTGAGGAAGATTGGCCCTTAGCTAACATCTGTTGCCAATCCTCTTTTTGCTTGAGGAAGACTGTCGCTGAGCTAACATCAGTGCCAATCCTCCTCTATTTTGTATATGGGACGCCTGCCACAGCATGGCTTGATAAGCGGTGTGTAGGTGTGTGCCCGGGATCCGAACCCACAAACCCCAGGCTACTGAAGCAGAGAGCGTGAAGTTAACCACTAATGCCACCGGGCCGGCCCCTGTTTGAGATTTTTTTTTAAGGTTAAAGTTTAAACACCAGGTTTAAGAACCAAAACTTTTCCCTTTTGTTTGTCAAGAACTACTCTTCTGGGGCTGGCCCCGTGGCCGAGTGGTTAAGTTCGCGCGCTGCGCTGCAGGCGGCCCAGTGTTTCGTTGGTTCGAATCCTGGGCGCGGACATGGCGCTGCTCATCAAACCACGCTGAGGCAGCGTCCCACATGCCACAACTAGAAGGACCCACAACGAAGAATATACAACTATGCACCGGGGGTCTTTGGGGAGAAAAAGGAAAACACAAAGTCTTTAAAAAAAAAAAAAAGGACTACTCTTCTGAGCTTTCCCCATAACTGTCAGAGTCACATCCAGAGAAGCCACATGGATTTTCCTACTTTCTCTGTAGTCTAAGTGTCACTTCTGTGAAGCAACACTACCATATCAGGTGGGAGAATGCTTTAAATGAAATATTCTCGAGTTCAAGTTAAACGACATGTATATGTAATAAATGTAGTCACAATTTAATAATGAGTATATCCCAAACACGTATTTATATAGAAAATGATCGACGGATACATATTCAGCTACTAAAGAATGGCTTGGCTTCACCTGTCAATCAACATTATCACGTCACTCGAGAGGCAGGACACACAATGACGAAGAGAATGGGTTCTGGAGTCAGACTGTGTGGTGCGAACCCAGCTCTCCCGCACACTAGCCATAAACCTCGGGCAGGTTACTGTCCCTGGGAGCCCCCGATCCTAACGGGGCTCACCACAGGCTGCTGTGGGGATGGCGGACCTGACATGTGTAGAGCGCAAAGAGCTACGACACCTGGCACGTGGTGAGCACTTCCTCGGGGTTAGCTGTTACTGCTGCTTCTAGATCCCAAATAAACACTAATGGTGTTCTTTGGGGAAAAAGAGCTCTTACCCTCCTTTATGCTTCTTCTTCTTTGGAGTGTCTTCTTCTGAGGTCCTCCTGCCGCGACCCCGGGAGCCTCTTTTTTCTTTCTGACCTCGACCTTCTGAAGGACAATGAAGACCCCAGTTATTTTCAAGAATTTACTAAAGGAGGACAAGGTTTACCTAATGTGATAGTTACCATAATGTTCCTGATACATTTATCAGACAAAATTCTTCAAAACTCCATAGTTAACAGTACCAAAATAAAGAAAAATTAACAGACTTGCTTTTTAACCCTCGTCCTCCAGAGCTTTCAAAGTCACTGCCCTCCATCTTGTCCTTCAGATCCGCTTCGAAGCGCGCCAGGTCTGCATCGAGCCTTCGAATGTGCTTATCCACCTGAAAGGAAGGAGGCTCACAGGTCTCACTGAACACACAACGCCTCAGGGATCACAGACGCGCTGGAAGCCAACCAGGAAGCACTTTCTTGCGCTTTGAGGCCTCGATCAATAAAGCTCTGCTAACACGGGGCCCACTCTCTCCAAGTTTATGCAAGGGTCTTTTTCTTCCCACATATTTCGACACCTCAACAGAATAAATCCTAATCAGGAAAAGCCATGAAGGTAGGCAATCATGAGAAACAGAGTGTGAGATGCAACAGGATAAAGGGTGAGGGCATCTGATACTGAATCCTACTTTAAAAATCTGAAGAATGTAGGGGCTGGCCCCGTGGCCGAGTGGTTAAGTTCGCGCGCTCCGCTGCAAGTGGCCCAGTGTTTCGTTGGTTCGAATCCTGGGTGCGGACATGGCACTGCTCATCAAACCACGCTGAGGCAGCGTCCCACATGCCACAACTAGAAGGACCCACAACGAAGACCACACAACTATGTACTGGGGGGCTTTGGGGAGAAAAAGGGAAAAAATAAAATCTTTAAAAAAAAAAAAAATCTGAAGAATGTATAGGTTTTTAAACTATTCAACTACTAAAGAGTGGCTTAGCTTCAACGGTCCGAAAAAAAAAAGAAAACAGAAAATGACTCTAACACGTCAGGTGTAAGAAAGGGGAGGCAGGACAGCCAGAGCCACCAGCAGCAGTAACCGCTGTACTACTCCTGAGAGGAGACCTTCCCACTGAGAAATCGCAAGGACTTCACAATGAATGGCCACAGCGGGTCCCTCTATCCAGCTGGCTCATGACCATCAACCAACGCTGTACGTCATGGTCCGCAAGGGAGGGGCGACGGTACCCCTCCATGTCTGGGAATGAACTACAATCTTCAACTTCCTTATGCATCAGAGAGAAACTTGTCTAAGGACAACTGATCAAACCTAACTATTTAGAAAACAGGCTGCTTACCCTAAAGGCACCGCACATTGGGGCACCGAAATCCCAAATATGAACATTAAGTTCTCCTTCTAGAGTGTTCTTCTTTGGATACAACTTAATTCAGGTTTTTAGGAAATTGTCCGTTTTACTGGGGGAGGCGCAGGAGGGAGTGAGCAGGTGGCAGCCTGCGAAGACGGCAGTGCTTCATGACCTCACAGGCGGTGTAGGACAACGGCTGTGTGCCACCGCAGGGGCCCCAAGGGAAGCCTCCTTGAGAGGAAACTAGACAGAACAAATTCTAAGACTTTACCTAAAGGTGACAAGAGCACACACTAAAAAAATATATATAAAGACGAACAGCTCCCCCAAGCAAACAAACAAGTAGAAAGAGCCCCAGGTGAAGGACACACGGATTTGTACTTTCTCTAGAAGCCTCACCCTATCAAAGCCTGACCTCCGTCTCGGACACACCATTTCTGAGCAGTTTGGAGAGGCCTATGGCCCAGGCCCCCCTCAACCCTCCCAACCCGCCATCCCAGGCCTCCCCAGCCCCACCCCACATCCCCTCCTCACCATCTCATAGGTCTGCATGGCCAGCTGCACCTTGTCATCGCTGTACTCCTTGCACTTGCTGTAGGCGCTCTGGATCTTCTGCAGGTGCTCCACACGCTGGTCTGGAGAGAGAGTCTTCACCGTGGAGATATACTCAGCAGCCAGGATGTCGATCTCTGCTTTCTTATCTGATAGAGAAGTTGTTGAAAAGCTAGTCCTTGCATGAGATTCCACTACACG